AGAGAGTTCCACAACTGTGGAAAACATCTGTGCGTGGTTGCCAAGGTGCCAAAAAGCGCTGCACCGGCAAAAGGACCTCCAACAGCCTAGCAGGCGCGGTAAGGGAGCTGACATCGCACCTTATGAATTGAGGCAGGCTGGATAGGGCGACTGGTGCCTCGCGGCCATCTCCGCCCTCCTGGTGGGAGCCCAAATCGAGTGGACGTCCGGCTGGCAGTTCGGCCTATCGTCTGGGCCGAATCGGGGGTGGACTGATGCTGGTGCCCATCTTCCCTTCTTGCCACCAGAGCTCTTTCTGCCACCCGGAAACAGCTGGAAGGCACTGTGAGATGAGCTTTCCTTCGCGGCTCTCCAGTGCTTTCAACATCCGGCAGCCCATCTGCTTCTGAGGGAACAAGCTGGAGGCTCCTCAGTTGTGGATTATGCACCTCACTCGCTGGATTCTGGATTAGCCTCACCCAACTGCCGCCCAGCCAGAATGTGAGAAGCCACCTAATACTCCGTCGTAAAAAACTGGATAAAAAAACAACAAAATAAAAAAAATTGAATGCCAACATTTTATTTTTTAAATAGAGTTATTTTCTTTGTATTCTTAGTGCCAGATTTTAGAGTCACTGTCCTTGCTCTATAGAGGGCTAAGTTTCCACCCAGTATACAACCACGTGTTTTAATTGGCCGAGGTTCGATACTAACTTAGATAATGTGACGTGAGATGCATTTGAAATGTTATTTAAAAAATTGGGGGTTGGCCAATACTTAAGATTTCTCTGTGTGTACAGTAGTTGTGAGATGAGATGCATATGTGCAGTCTATGCTTGCGAAACAAAAATAAATAGAGGGATGGCTGGTTCTTTGATTTAGGTTTTTTTTTTGTCATTGGCCATAAATTAAAGATGGATATTCTCAGTGGAGACCCTTGCCTTATCGTTCAGTCGGAAGGCAATGTCTCTTAAATGTCCCTAAAAAGCAATTTTTTTCACACAGCTTGCCCCAAGGGGGATTCCTACATGAAGATGTTTTCTGTTATCTGGTTGGTGTTAACACATACTTTCATGCACCAGTCAGAGCTTTTGAATAAAATCTGATTACAGTTGTGGGGCTGTTTGCTCATGTGGCCAGTAGGGCTGCACAATTAATCGAAATATTATCGAAATCGCAGTATGGCCGAAGGCAATATGCAATTTTTTTGTAGAGTGATGCTAACTTCCAGGTTGGCCTATAAAAATATGTCATCCCTGAAGCACTCTATTTTGAATATTATACAGAAAAACTAAATATTTTAAGTTTTCAGAGAAAATATTAAAGTGGTATTGTATTGCCATGAGTAATTGCATAATTGGATTTACCAAGGACTACAATATAATTTCAGAGAAAAAAAGAAAGTTTTATTTGTTATCAAACTGATGAAAAACGATTGTGAAAAAAAAAGTGAATTTCAGGCAAGAAAAATGCTGCACCTCCACATCATTAAAGAAAATGGCAGTTAATGGGAACATAAATGAACAATAAAATATTGTCACAATGTTAACTAATGATAAGGAGGTGACAAGACAATGATTTGAGGTGACCAGTCCCATAAAAAAACACCTTTTTAGCTCTTTTAAACTATGAACCCCCATCCATTATATTCTGTTTCTCTGTCTTCACTATAACTCTCACTTTATTCTTTTTCATAAAGAAATAACACTAGTGTGTAACCCAGAACAAAAAAAAGCCATGATACAGAAGGAAGGGCACCTTGTATTTGTTGGACAACTGCAAGTAGTTAAATATTCATGCAACTTTAGAAACATCTCTGGTTAGATCTCTAGGCTAACAATACATTTTTATTCTTTATGAAATATCAATATGATTCTCCACATTCTGATTAAAGTTTTTCTCCATGTAAATTAACAGTTAATAGATTCTGTCATGAAATACGTTGATAAACCATATGTTCAGTCTGTACAATAGAGGTACTAAAAATTACAACTGTCATGGTATATGTACAATTTCCTACCTACAAAGTACAACAGCTAGCATGTAATAAAATATGTAAACAAATTTCTTGTTTTTTGACACAGTTGACTGTGACAGCAGATAGAATTCACACTTTCAACATTTGATTTATTTCTGTATACACATTTGTTAACAGTGTTGTAGTACTGCATTTGTTTCCTGACACCTCCATAAAAAAAGAGAACGATAGGCAATGAACCAACATACAGTTTTGCAAAAAGATAAAACCACCACTGGCTGTGCATCAATAATAGACCTTTTTCTTTTAGAGATTGTTTTTTCCATGGTTAACATTTTTGAGGGGATCGAAAAGAGAGGACAGGGGCAAGTTCTGATCTGATGATGAAGAACTGTTTGGCATTAAAGAGAACATGGTCCAAGTTCAACACTGTATACTGGACTTTTACTGTACTGTACTTTACTGTACTGAATTAGGATGGCATGCATTTTACAATCAGTTGCTTTTTACCAAGAGAAACGGCCACTTCTTTCCACAAAGTGAGTCACTCCGTCTGTCAGACAATGAGGAATAACTGTGGTGAATCAGATGCCAGAGCCAACAGATTCTATGAGATCTGCCCATGGCAATTTGCTCACTTGGTATCATTTTATACACAGAAATAGTTTTCTTTTCTTGCTGTTCTTTTTGTCTTTTTGTTTCTTTTGCTTAAAGCAAAAATAAGTTAGACACCACACTTGTATTATGTATAAACCATAAAAATTTGTCATATTCTGATATAACAAGAGTCCTTTTTTAGTTTTACAATGATGGTGTGCCTGAGCCCCCTCTTGTAAAGCACTACATGTTGCTTACATGCTGAAAATGTATAAGATTATGAGCCTTTTGTAATTAACAATTTTACAAAAAAAATTTTGTTCAATGCCAAGGATCACATAGCTCTAAAAGTCACTTAGGAGAATGATGTAGCTGTGAAATATTTCTATACTGATAACGTCTCTGACCAGATAGAAGAGTTAGGTCTCTAAAGTTGCTATTTAGCCTTGTCGTTATGCTTACAATAGTAAGTGTGCTTTATATTACAGTACATATCATCAGTTCAACTACTCAGCACAGTATAGGATTATTCAAGTTCCACGTTATACCATCATTTGTCATAGCTCCTCACAAGGAAACTGATAAGTAAATGTTCTCTTAGTGCTTTCTTTCTTCACTCTCTCGTGTTCACGAAAGTCTCACAGTCACACATAATACTCCTTATCCTTATTTTTCTGTTTCTTGTTGCTGCCTTTCAAGCTCTGCTGTTTGTCCTTCATGACAGCGCCATTGCTCTGCACAGCTGAGTTGGTTATGTAGTTCCTGCTCTCGTCCACCTGGTAGGAGCCTTCATCCCTGTTCCTGTACTTATACATGGCATACAGAAGGATGAGGATGCACAGGGCAGCGGCTGCCACTATTCCGATGACCATCCCGGTGGTGCTGCTAGATTCACGGACCACTTCCGAGGGCCCTGGAACTCGCCTGACGCCCGGCTCTGTGGGGAGTGCTGTGGGTATATTACGGAACATTGGGGAGGTTATTAATGGGCCCCTCAGCTTGGTGCTGTCTACCTCAAAGGATGTGGGCAATGGAAGCAACACTAGGTCGGGCTGGGGTTTTAGCTCGCGGTTATTCGTTTTGCCAGCCGGCTGTTTGGCCGGAGCATTGTGGAGGGTTGCGGTGGAGGCAGAGGTGGCGGTGGTGCGGCTCTGGTCGGCGGTTAGTGGTATGGCGGTAGTGGTAGCCCTACCGCGTCTGGAGATTGAAGGTTTGTTAGGTCTAAAAGTCTTGGGCGCGTGAGCTTTGTAGCCACCTTCAAAGCCTGACGTGGACAAGGTCTTATCTGTTACCAAGGAGAAGGTCGTGTAAAAATCTTCATCATCAGTAGGGGGCAGGTTAGACTTGAACGCTTCCCCAGAGCCATACCCCGATATCACCAAGCCATCATCATCACAATCATCGCTGCCTCGGTCCGACAAGCAAGGTACCCCCGCCTCAGTGGCCTTGGACAGGGACTCTTTGGTGGTCTCAATAATGGTGAGGAGTGGGTGGTGGGTTGAGGGAGTGGGAATGAAGGGTGCACGAGGAGCTACAGAGGGGTGCGCTAATGGATCCTCAAGTACTGGGATGACTAACTCAGCTCCTGGGATTGGAGACAGACAGGTAGTCATGTTAGAGGGCAGCATGGGCGTTTTATTAAATATACTGAATTAGATATATCTGTAAAAACAGAAAAACAAAGCAGGCAACAACTAAACCCAAATCTATGAAAATAAAATGTGCATCTCGGTTTAAGACTGCTAAATATAAATATAAATATATTTATATAAATGTCAAAAGGTTTAAGAGGTTTGCGAGGACAAGCCACAGAAATCAAGCAAAATTAGCATTAAATTCAGTGTTTTATGGGTAATCCTTAAATGTAAACTAATAATCTATATATGCTAAATACAAATGAATTAAAGTATCCAATAACTATTTTCAGCAATTTAAATCAAATAAAAGGCATTATCCATATTGGCTAATGGCTCTCCGATCATCTTAAACCTCTTGCTTTTCTATGGTAATACAGAAAATCGATGTTATAGTTCTACAAACATTTCTTAGATGCAGAGCTGTTTTGAAGTTAAAAGTGATCTCAATCTTTAAGTTAAATTTCTGTGAAAGAGCACAAACAACCAGTTTGTTTGGGCACAAATTCGCTTTAGTTAAGATGGAACAGTTTGTAAAAATGGAATAAGAGAAAAATTAGAAAACTCCCATCAATGAATTGGATGCTCATCAATGCTTTCTTTATACTGAAGAGAACATTTGGGTAAAGCTGGACTGATATTAAATTGGATGCACATTCCAGGCAATGTGTCATTAGTATTATTAAGCACCCAAATTATTATATATGGAGTCAACAGACCATGTCCTAAAGTTCACCACTTCCAGATAGTGGGAGGTCAAACAGACTAGATAATTAAGTGAATTACAGAGAGGTTGTGTCTCATAACAAGGAATACTGATCATGTTAGTTTCTGATGCCATTAGGAACCTCCTTTCTCCTCGCTTTTTCACTGGGCTTCAGTGTGCTGTTAATTTAAGTTGAAAAGTGACAATGATTCAGCTCTGCGACCAAGAAAAAGCTGTTCAACTATAACTTTGATTTTAAGTTTATATTATTATTATAAGTTCAGTGTCAATGGCAGAGCAAAGTCACCTGAATGTTCACCCTTTGTGAAATACAGACCTGGCTGAACAGTGTTGTGGCATGTACTTTGATTAAGTGTGTCTTTAAGAGCTTCATTGTGTGGGTACCCCCTTGCTCACCAGACCAGAAGAACTGACGGCCAGGTCCCCTAACAAATCTGTTTAAATATGTATATGCTCTTACGTTGCACTACAATTTAAAAAAATTATTTCCTCTCAATCATAGGTAAGTGTTAAAGATCAAATCAAGCCAATTCTATGCCAACTGCAAACTCAATAAACTCAATAAATAAATAAACAATTTAATCCAATTTCTGAATTTCTTTTGATTCCCCAAAGGTGTGCCATTCTTCTCACTGTGCCTCCCCCAACATCAGAGGGTCTAAAAGTGCCATGGCAACACCACTCATCATGTGGATAGAAAATACAAAGGCTGGTCGTGGTTGTGGCAGTTGCATGCATGCCTCTTTGTAGTTTCCTCCTCTTCAAATCATAACCTATATGAACGAGAGAGCCCATATACGCCGGGGACTCTTTTTTTCTAAGTTTTGAAAATTGGCACACAGAATGGGACAGATAATCAAGGCATTTTTAGATCATCATTAGCATTGTTGCTAACAAGCAAACTTCTGTCTGCCTCAGAGCGTTTAATCAAAACTGTCAATTGTCAACAGACAGTATGGTCCACAGGGGCTGACGGGCCATTTTATTTTTGATTTTATGTACAGTGAGCTAAGGGTCCATGGGTGGTAAAGTCATGCCCCACCCTACTCTGCCTCTGACTGGCTAGCACTCGTTGCCTTCATTAGGGGCCATCGTGGGAAAAAGATTATCCCGTATAGTGCAAGCACATAAATCATGAGCTTTAGTTTAAACCACAGATGATTTAATCGTACAGTAGGAGTAGGAATTAAGCAACATTTCTAAAATCAGACAGTGTACACCCAGCTTTGGGTGTAACACCTTACTAACATTACTGTAATATGTATGTATGTTGGTGGTCAGTAAAACTGTAGAGTGGCTGCTTGTTAAACAATGAAGCATCACAGTCTTTTTTGTATTTGTTAAAAATAGAAGATGTGAAAGCGTGGCTGCTTCAGAGTGGTTGGAATGGGACTTACCCAACACAGCAATTCAATAACAACAAAATACTTCAAATTACCAAACACTGCAATTATGTTGCTGTGTAAACCCACATTTACAGGTTCTATCTGTACCTCTAGGCTTTCTACTTTCAAGGGTTGATAGATGCTAAGAACTCATTTTTGAGTAAAAATGCAAAAACAGTTTTACTGATTTACTTTCTCATGTAATCTCAAGCAGGTATCACTGGAGTGAACATTCAAAGTGCCATTGACATGAAAAGTATCTACTATCATGGAGCATGTGCATACTGAATCATTGATGCATATTACAAATACTGTATCAGCTAAAGCAAACTGTTATGTCACTCACAAATTATCACAAACACCAACATATACATTCACAAGCACACAACTCTGTAGATCAAACAAAGGCCATTTTATTCTATCATTGCAAACAACAAAACACTATTCAAGACTCATTCAGTTGTTAATGTTCACAGTTTGATCGGAGATGCAGTTTGCAGGTTTTTACATGAGCACTGCTTCAAACAGATGTTTACAGAATCATTCTCTCTCTATTTCTAACAGGTGGTACATGTAGCATTTTGTGTTCATATAAAGTATTACTAAGTAGGGCTGCAACTAACAATTAGATTATATTAATCTGTTGATCATTTTTTCAATTAATTAAATGGTTTGGGCTGTAAAATGTCAATCACTATTTCCCAAAGCCCAAGGTGACGTCCTGAAATGTCTTGTCCACGACCCAAAGATATTCAGTTTACTAAATAAAACCAGAAAACACTCACTTAGTTCTAATCAACTAGTCTGGTTTCCTTGGAATAAATTCTATTATTGTACCATAGGATTTGATCTTTATTTGGAATTTAAGGAAGAGTTAGTTTGTAGATTGAACATATGTGTCTGCATTAAACTAATCTCTTTACTATTCAAAGATAAAAGTTTCATCCCAGTTTTTTTTTCTTTCAAATGATAAAAGACACCATATCTGTGACTTAGATCCCCTCTTTTTGAATTTGTTCTACGGGGATCAATAAAGGAACATCTTATCATATGGGATACCATGGAGAAATGATTCAACACGTTCTGTGTAGATCAGTGACTTGTTGTCCTTAGTAGCTGCATATCCCCGCATTACAGCATTGGTAGTTTAAATCTCGATTGTACAATTCAGATGTATTTTGCATCGTTTTAAGACGTAAATTCAAATTAATAATTTTATCGCTGAGCTCTAGCCTGGGCGACTGTGGCGCAGAG